ATACTAAAAGTTCAGTCTTGTTAGGTACACTTAAGTGTAATATATCTTTAGCTATGGCATGTACAACATAACCTGCTGTATAATGAAGGGCATTCACTTCTTCATGCATTGTCAAGAAGACTCTGAAGAGATTCATTGATAGTGGTTCTCTGACTGACAAATGTGTCTTTAACCACAGCTTCCATCATTTTGTCTGTTACATACTGATAAAAAATAGGGCAAGCCCTAAATCCAACTGCCCTTTGTATATTATCCTTCCAGCTTTCTCTAAACTCATTTGATGCCCTAAGCTTATAGTAATTCTCTGTCATTCTTTCCTTCAAAGTATGTAAGGTAACTTTTCTGGGATGTGCTGTGCATTGCTGTAGTTTTGTCATTAGGTCAGTAGCAAATAACATTGCCTCTTCTTTGGAATCTGTCATCCATTCCAGTAATTTAGAAGCACAAAGTTGTGCTTTCTGTCCCAACTCTGACACATTAAACCCAGTATCTGTTAAGACAGAAGTAACAGCTTCCTTGAATAGTTCATAATGTCCTAAATAATATTATCATGTCTCACTATTAGGAGGTAAACAAATCTATACCTGTGGAATTATTTTCACTGGTAGCCATTTTTCTGGTGCTAACTGTAATAACTACAGGAAACGGGCTAAGCGGTATGATTCTGCGCAAACTAGCCTAAATACGTGATAATTGCTCTCGAGGAGGAGTTCCCAATCCCGGTCCGTGTCCAGTATCTATGCCTTCTGTTATTACTTATTAGTCGCATGTGCTGTATCTCTGCTGTGAGCCTTTCACCTGTGTTATCAACCACTCAACGATGTTCTCCTACATGTTATCAAGCCTTGGGATGCTCTCTCGGAGATCAAAGCTCATCATACACAGCTGTAAAGCTACTTCTGCCAAACAAATGGACAATTCACAAAAAGGTCAGTTGAATGATAACTGGATGTAGTACTGATGGGGTAAATTGGCAATAATGCCACCTATTATATAGGTGGTAGCCTATATGTAGGATTCAGGTTGGTTTTTCAAGATGGCAGTAGTATTTATGATTTCCAACACTTATAATTGTTTTATTTTCCCTTGTACATGTACATGTATATTTTATTATGGCCTGGGACAGTGTAAAATCTATAGAGCTCCCTAGGCCAGAATCGATTGCATAGGAAGATTATGAATTTTTATTGTCGTAAGGCATGGTTTATGATGAAGTTAATTCCGGCCGCCATTTTGGTTGGCAACTGTCAATAGACAACAAATGGGTCGACAAAACAAATCTGTAGTTTTCTGGAGAAGAGGCCCAAATTCAAGTTTCTGCATAATTCTCAGATATCTCTTCTTTCATCTTCTATCAGTTCGATTAGCTTCTTATAGAGACAGCCTCTCGTGTTGGTTTATACATAGTTCAACTGCGCTTGAATCAAGGATCTACACCAACAGGTGAAAAAGAAGAAAGGGTCGATAAAAAATTTTGGTATACAAATTCCAGGTGAAAGTCATCACATGAGTTTGTGCTTTGACACCATTTTAATTTATATGCTTGAAATAATTAAAGGGCAACTTAAATGAATTTTTTGGATTTTTCAATAATCAAGTCACAGTATCTATATAACATTTGAACAACAGTTATGCACTTATTTTGATCAAAAAGTCTTTGGCTTGCAAGAAAATGCACTTTACATTTCATCCTTTTTGTTGGCAGCCATCTTCTTCCTGTTTCAGCAACAATGCGGGGGTGTGCAATTTGTGATGTCATCAGATGCATTGATGGCTGTTCCTTGCATCTCTTTCATGCAGAAAGAACTTGTTGCTACTTGCCATGGTAATAACAAATAAAAACAAATTTAGTATAATTTATTTCCAAATGATACTGGTATAACAAATATGTGATTTTATCAACTAAAAGAAGGAATAGAGTCAAAGTAGTCAGGACCAACAAAGTGCTTTTTTGTGCAGCAGTCACTTAACTAAATCATTTGGAAATAAATTATACTAAATTTGCTTTTATTTTTTATTATGACAGCCAGTAGCAACAAGTTCTTTCTGCATGAAAGAGATGCGGCAAGGAACAGCCATCAATTCATCTGATGACATAACAAATTGCACGCCCCCGCATTGTTGCTGAAACAGGAAGAAGATGGCTACCAACAAAAAGGATGAAATGTAAAGAGCATTTTCTTGCAAGTGAAAGACTTTTTGATCAAAATAAGTGCATAACTGTTGTTCAAATGTTGTATAGATACTGTGACTTGATTATTGAAAAATCCAAAAAATTCAATTCAGTTGCCCTTTAACCTAACCACAAAATCGTAACTTGTAATTAAGGAAAAAAGAAAAGACAAATTAAATCAAAAACATTAAAAAATGGGAAAACAGTATGATTTAATTGAGACAAAGTAAAGAGACAAGATGGTTACTTGCAAACTCGTATGGCAAGAAATCTATTACTACATGAAAGATAAAAGCTTCATAATGTTATATCCTCTGACTTTGTATGGATAATTACATGTGTAATGCTTTTGGATATAATATTCTTCATGCAGTGGTGTAGGATTTCTTGCTATACCAGTTTGCAGTTGTCTCTTTACTTTTTTCCAATTCAACCCAACTGTTTATCCCATTTTAAATGTTTTATATACTTGTGTACATGTATACACTGTATATGCTTAGTTTCGTGCCCCACCATATCACTTATTATGCTCTCATTTAATACTGTTTATGTATGTGTACATGTACATGTATATCCGGGAATATTTATGTGCCTATGCTATTGCACAAACAAAAATTTTGAGCAAATTTGCCACTGCTCTTATTTAGTATCACAATTCACAATAAAAACTGCTACAGTACATGTACTGTACATTATAATTGTTCCCTTTTGGTACTTGGTATACTGTGCATGTACATGTATGCTAAACAATTCCTCACTAATCTTAAACTGTTTGTTCTTATTCTTAGTGTCCATTGAGTTCAATAGGTTGGCGTGGTTAGGAGACTCTGTTTTGAGGCTAGCCACTTCAGTATATCTTTACAACACAAGACCACACAACAGCAACGGAGAACTTGCAGTAGCTAGAGACAGACTAGTCTCTAATTATATTTTATCTTACCTTGGAAAGAAGAAAGGTATCACATGCACGATGCAGTCAACTTATTTTGAGAAATTAAGGTTGCTACCACCTGGCTATGAAGCTGCATCAAAGGAATTTTATAAAATTATTTCTCTGCAGAATATACAAGTAGCTGATATCGTTGAGGCACTGATAGGAGCTCATACATTGACTGGTGGTTTGATTGGAGGAATAAATTTAATGAAATGGTTGGGAGTAATGATCTGTAATGATTCTGTGCCTACACTACATACACATGTTCCTCACACTCAGTCAATACTTTTTGCTGATTCAAGTCAAATATTTTCCAGTTATTTTGGATCTCCTCCTCCTCCTAGTCTCACTGTGTCAGACAAGGAGAGACACAGCATCATGTCAGAAATGAGCAGCATTGAAAAAGGATTACAGTATACTTTTAAAAACAAGTTGCTCCTTATAGATGCAATGACACATTCTTCCTATACATGTGATGGAACACTCAAAAGTAGATTGAAATTCCTTGGAGATGCCATTTTGGATTATCTAGTAACTTGTCACGTACATGTATTCCAGCAGGAGTTTTCTTCTGTACGTGTGCATGTACTTAAGTCGGCAATTTTTCGTGACTCTTGCTTCGCTGAGCTTGCTGTTTCTCTTAATCTTCATAAGTGCTTGCGTCACAACTCACCACAGCTTTTAGCAAATATGACATCTTATAGAGAAAGATTGGAGGAAAAGAAGAATGAAGAACTGGGAATAAAGTTTGAAGAAATATCGATGAATAGTGATGAGGTAAGACATGTTCACATCACACATACAATCATGCATGCACGAACATGTAGTATCACATGTACATGTACATTTATATGTACTTTACATATGCTACAACAAATTGAACGAAACTTTGTCGCTACATGTACTATACATACATGTACATTCTTTAAGTAAAAAATACGAAGTATAGGGAATCATGCCTGTCAAATTAAATATAACAACTTGAAATCTAATTTTTTTATTGTGCCTATCAATTACATGTATCATAGCTACCAGATGTGATTTTAATTTGAAAAAGCTCAATTTTTAAATAAAGCACCCTTCTTGAATTATTCTTATTGTTGTTAATAACCCTTGGTCTTTTTGGAGCTTCTTTCTGGTTCTTTTCAGAACCTTGTTACTAACCATACTATACGTACATGTACATGTATCTTAGAACTTGGCACTCATTCCAGTTTTTGTTTATTTGAGTGAGGCTTGTTATCATGACTGACAGACCAGCAATGATTTGCTGCAAAGAGCTCAAAGGTCTCCAGTGATTTGTACAAAAAGCTAATGGAATGGATATAGAACTTGGTGAATGGCTCCACTAAAGCTGCTTGTGAATAGATAATTAGCTGAACACCGTAAATACATCATCTTATTGTCAAAGCAATGCTCTAACATTTTCATGGCATTTCATTTATTTTTATTGCTGTGTATAATTGCAGTTGCAAATATATATCCTGCCCTTCGGTATTACTAAGTACATTTATATGCACCTACTCTGGATATTATGTGTGCTTTTAAAATATCTTCAGGTTGGAGCTGAGAGTCTAAAAGGTGATGATGACATGACCCATCCACCAAAATCACTTCGGGAATGTTTTGTGTCATTAGCTGGTGCAGTGTTTATTGATAGTGGAATGAACCTACAAACTGTATGGAAGACTTTCTCTCCTCTACTGGAGCCATTATTTGGTTAGTGATATACTTAACCTTGTATCTGGAAATTCATGCTTAGAACATTGTGCTTTATTTGATTTTTATGTACTATATTTGTGTCATTGTATTATTGAATGTGGTATATGCGTGATCTAATTTAGCAAATTTCTAATCTACATGTGGCTTTAATTTTCAGATAAACGGTAATACATGTGCATGTACGACTGTATTTGTACATTATATACATGTACATGCATTTGTTAGTATAGGAGTTATGTTGTATGCTTATATTGTTTTATAAATCTTTTTGGCACATGAAAAAATTTATCTGCATGCATAAAGTTTTAAAAATGAGGTAACAGTATGTACTACAAATAATAATGAACATACTACATGTACAGTATGTGTTGTAGTATGAGCTTCTGAATATCATTATGAAAATAATGTGTACTAATTATTATGAAATGTAATCATGTACATGTATCTTTTTGTGGTTGTGTAACCACTTCTTTTGTTTGCAGAAAAGTTTAAATGCAATGTTCCAATGATGCCAGTGCTGGAGTTAAATCATCATGACCATAATATGACTGTCAAGAAGAAACAGTAAGCTAAACTCAATAAGCAGTAAATAATGTATCCTGTAAGAATACAATACATGTATACTGCATGTACAATGTACATGTATTTAATTTTAGCATTTTTTAGCTTTTGTACTTAAAAACGCTAATTAAACCAGTCACTACCTGTACTTGTGTAATCAATGAGAGAGGCCTTTAGTAGCAGGGTCATACATTGTATATTAAGTGTTGTGCTATTGTTGATAGGATGGGCCTATTAGTGTTTGCTCTTAAATAGATACATGTACCCTGGGGGTCTTGATTAGTGCTACATGTATGCTATAAAATACTATTGATTTTGTACAATTTTTGCTAATATTACTAGAGTTGCACCGATACAGAAATTTAACTGATATTCCGATAACTGATATTCTATTGCCGATAAAGACCGATACCAATAACCGATCCGATATTAATAACTAATATTAAAGTTTATTAAGTAATTATTAATAAACTTTAATCAATAATACAATTTATATAACCAAAGTTCGTTTTCCTAAAAGTAGTATTTCTGGCAGCAATTGCACACAGCAAATCTACTGTCCACTAGTTTTGTAATAGTCCCATATACATGATCATTTTTTGGACATTTTTGACATAAGTTAGCAAAGCCTACGCAGGTGGACTCACTGAGCTTGTGCAAAACCACATGCTATCATAATAACATTACACGTAATTAATTATCCTACTGTACATGCGCAATACCACATGTTATAACATCGGAATTGGTAGCTTTTTTATAACCAATAACTGATACTGTCAAAATAGGCCGATAAGCCGATATCCGATAAGCCGATCACAATATCGGTGCAACCCTAAATATTACATTTTGCTAAATCAGGCTCCCCTTATAATCAGTGTTGTATTAGTTAACTATAACTATAACTAAATCTATTTTAGTACAGCAAAATTGTAATTTAGTTAACTAAACTATAATTCCTCTATTTGATGTCAAAATAACTAGAATCATAACTAAAAGGATTTGTCAAAACTATAACTAAAATAGAATTAACAGTTTTGTACTAGTATTAGCCACACCTACTTGTTAATTGAAATCTACTTTCATTTGACCAAAATTGACCCTGTTGAGAGGGTACTTTTGTTAATGAGGCATGTTTGATTATGGTAATATTTGAAATTGCTATGAATCAACGACTTTTTTGCTTGGTATTGTTTGGTTTGTTATAACTAAAACTATAACTATAACTAAAAAGAAAATAGTATCACATAATCATAACTAAAATAAAGAGGCCGAATCTTTACTATAACTAGAACTGGAACTAAATATACTTTGTTCTAAAGTACTATAACTAAAACTAGAATGTAAATCATGAACTAAAACAACACTGCTTATAATGCTAAAATTTAAGAGTGCAGGTAATACCCACCCTAGAACTAGCTAATTTATTGTAAAAATTAGTGTTTCACATCAGCTATACAATACTTTTCATTTGTATTTTACGACCTAGGGCGAACCCATACATGTGTATGTTATTCCTATGCATGTAGTTGTTTTCACCATCACACTATCTATCTTTACATGTATTTGTGTCTTCACAGTTACATTTCTTCAGTACACGTTGTTTGGTGTCACTTGGTAAAATAACATACATGTATGCTTTAGCAACCAGGTGCCCACGTCCTTTATTTAAAGTGGGTGTGGCCACTGCAAGCAAAATGCCAGCTTACACATTGTACAAAGTTTTTGAGATTGCGAACAGCAAGAGAACATTGATTTTACTGTCTAAAGACTTCTCTAGAAGCATTAGATAGTAGAGAGAACATCTATAACTCTTAATAATAATCTACTGAGACACCTATGGTGCTTGGACTCGCCGCAGCTGCCCTTGCATTCATGCAATATTCTATCTACTCTCTTCTACTCTCTACTCTTCATCTCTATTAAGCAGCATGATGGAGATAATGACCATACGTGATTCATTACTTTTAGTAGTGCATGTACAAATGTAGCATGTTCTGTACTGACTCAAGTCAAAAGAGCGACAAAAACTAACACATATATGATGGCACAGATACTATTGTCTTGATAGAGTTTATTTAAGGAATCATGCATAAGACAGCAAAAGAATTATGCACAGCTGGAACTCTCCCTTTTGCGAAAATGCTGTTATCGGGAGATATACATGTATTTGCAGAGGTACCGTCCAAACGACGACAGGATCTGGAAACTGGCTCTGTCTTTTGCAGGCTATTGCTCTCACATCATTGGCAACTGAAACTAATTAGTGCCATCATAGAAAAGCCACTTTGAAGAGCTGTTCAGGGGTGTCAAACATGCTAAGGTTCCAGGTGAGTATAGTCGGTTTCAGTTGAGTTGCCCAAGCACCACACCTTATAGCTTTTTTATTACTAATGCTAGTAACCTAAAACTTGGTATAGTTGCATAACGGGTTCTTCCTGAAAATCTGTACCAATTTTTGAGTCTCTAGGTTCTCTGGAAGGTTCTAAATGAGTTTTTCCGCTCCAGTTCAAAAGGAGCTGCCATGATGAATCGTTACGTTCACGCTACATCACACTCGTGAATATAATTTGCATCTCATTAGTCTTTAAGAAAATTAATGTTTTTTTATTTTATAAAATAAAAGCAGACAGATAAGGTCCTCTAAAGAAGGAGGCATTCAACTAGCAGTCTATACTACTGGGAAACATCTGCTACACCTGTCCACAGCCTTCTTGATTGCTGTTATTCTTCATCACCCTCAACCTAGGTTGTTATCATCCATATTGGAGGCCTTTGTCAGCTTTACAACAGAAAAAAGGTCTAGCCAGTGATAATGAAAGGTAGTAGTATCCAAAGCAAGGATAAAATAGACAATAAAAGGTCTTAGAGGTGAAGAAACGCTCAATGAAAGAGTTTGCTTGCACTCTGCCACCATGTTTGGCTGTGGCTAGAAATGACGTTTTTGTGATACAAACACTGATTTACTCTCTGTGGCAACTCAAATGAAACTGACTATAGGAGATGGCATCTCTGATTATTTATTTTTACTCTGCCTTCTTTTATGTTGTCACAAATTTGTAAAATACATATTATGGGTCAAATTTTTATATTTTAGAAAGAGGATTCTTTAAACTTTCCTTCAATACATAATAAGTTTGTGTTCTGCTTGAAAAAGATAGGTTTGTTATCCAATGTTTTTACACTTCATTTCTATGTATTCAGTCAAGTAGCAGTATAGAATCTTGTACAGTAGCATTGCCTTCCTAATGTGCCAGGAAAGATATGCTTCCTGTGTGGGAAAAGTGCTCCATACATGACTAAGTTTAATAACTGCAAGGAGCCAGAACAATCATTTGTCATTAAAGTGTAACTGCCCCCATTTTTTGAGGTATTTCTTTTATTGGCTTAATGTGATGGCTTGTCCATAGTAATAATGTATACCAACTCCCATTGTTCAAAAAAATTATTCACTGAGATATGAGCTTTCAAAAATGCACTTTTTGCTTCCTGCCATATTACTTCCTGTCAGTGGGTGTGGCTAAATATGACGTC